TTTGCTTTTTATGTTTGTTTTTTTTTTTTTTCTCATCATACTGCTGTGCGCTAATGGCTTGAACTCTTGTCTTGTTACGGACGTTTCTTACTTCGTGTCCAGCGTAGCGAGATCCACTGCTGTGGCCGTGAGCGATACCTGTGTGGGCAGAACGGACCCCTGCGGCTGCAGCCGCGGCCTGGGGTGGTGGGGGCGAGGCAAAACGGGGTCCTGAATGTGCCCGTGTGTCCGTGCTGCTTCGCGCTCAGGTGACCTCGGTGTCGCAGCGACGCGGGGAGACCGTGAAACCCACTTTTCGACCAGGGGCAGGGGGCGCGATTCATTCAAACAGCCTCGGGAGGTGCCGCTCGGCCCTCGCCACCCTTTCCCACCTGGTGGAAAGCCTGCTGCCTTGCCAGAGGAGAGTCAAAAACCAGTCCTAAGAGCTAAACAGGGCTTTCCTTAAAACCCAGCACCCTTCACGAATGCCCTCCCACGCAGCGCCAACATGGGCCTTCGTGTTGCCCTCTCCTCCCGGTGAGGATGAGCTCCTGGATCAGGACAAGCTCCTAGATCGGTCCCTGGCTGCAGTCTGGCTCCCAGGAGGTGTTTGCAGCCAGAGGTCAGGCACAGCGCAGTCACGGGAGGGTGAAGGGCACCCCGACTCCTCCTGCCCGGTGTGTCACCCTTTGGGTGCTATCAGGGTTCTGAGGCCAGGCATCTGCCCCCAGGGAGCCCTTCTCCTGCCCCGCTCCTGCCCAGACCACCCACACAGCAGGGGAGGCAGCCCGGGACACCTCGGTGGTCCCTACTCACTGGACACACCAGTGGCCTCTCCTCTTTTGTCAGTCCCTGTCCTCCAAGGAATGGTTTGTAAGAGAGTCAATCTAGAGAATATTGACCAAGATATTCCACCAAGGCTAAAATTTTTTGCCTGTTTTCTGGAGGGAAGTCCAATGATTCGGCATCCCGAGCAGTTAGCAATCAGACTCGATGCTCTTGAAGGCCGTGGTGGGATCTGGCAATGAAAGAGCAGATACTCCACACTGCCCCGAGGTGAGACTCACCAAAACAGCCAGCAGTCCACGCTCAAACTCACGGGTCGTATTTGTGACCCTTCTCCATGCTCTCTGGCTTTTAATGAATCAGGCCTCCCGTGGCTGGCTGGATGCTCTGTTAACGGTTAAATGCTCATGAGTGTTTTTCAGGAGGTTGTTGTTTCTTAGCTGTGATGTGTGAAATGTAGTATCTCTTTATAGGATGCAATTTTGAGACACAAGGAACGCCTTACTCTCAATTAGGCAAGTATATTTATTACAATTAACCGGCACCTACTCCATGCTGCTCAGCCTTTCTTCTTTTTTTTTTTTTTTTTTTTTCAAATCTTTAACTTTCCTTTGGTGACGGAGCAGCATTTCTTGCGCGTACCCTGCTTGCAGGGCGCTCTCGGATGTCATGGCAGTGGGCAAATTTGGAGGAGGACTGCCCATTGCCGTACGATGTAAAGGCATTTTATGGTTTTAAAGAGAAGCCTGAAGTCAGTGCTCTGGAAGCGGCCCTGTCATTTAAGAACTGACCCTCCTGCCCCAATACCAGTTCATTAAGGGCGCTGGAGCGTGGGCCAAATGCCGAGGAGGTGATTAGCCCCTCTGCAGCTAATGGGAGCAAGCGCTGGTGGTGGCTGCTTGCTTGTCCCCTTCGGACTGCCGGCAGGGTCAGGCCCGTTCATTCTCCCGGGAGAAGGAGCCCCGTGCCCAGCCCTGCGGGATTCCCTCCTCGGGCAGCTCGCACACCCGCCCGCGCCCGCTCCCAGCCCGAGCCCATCCTCGCCTCCGTCCTTCCCAGCCTTGATGCAAAACGCTGACAGGTCCACGCGCTCGCCGGAGAAGCAGGCAAGCAGAAATTGGTTTCTCATTCCTTTCCTGACCCAACTTTACGTGCTGTTTTCTCTCCTGCATGCCTTTCCCTGGGAATGACCACAGTTGACATTAAAAAAATGGTGGCAGGTACGGAATCACCTCTGTCGAGTTGCGAAAGCGGGGCACCCGCGTGCATGTGAGCTGTCTTGTGTGAAACGATCCAATAAATCGATGAATAAATCTCACCCGAGTGTTTTATTTTTCAAGCCGTATTTACTCCTGCAGGCGTGAGAGTGTTTTGTGGATGTGTCAGTTCACGTTTCGGTGATCGCTGGAGAAAAACCACCTGGGGAACCGGGCTGGTGGCTTGTGAAACCCCGTGCCTCTGTCTTGTCGAGGACGTGACGCTTTCTGTCAGATTTGCAGGAACCGAGTCCCGTGCATTTAAACCAGCAGCCGTACCGAGTCGTGGAGGTTTTTGGGGGCATTTTCCAGCCTTCCCATGAGCTAGCTCTTGTCTTACGCGTTGCTCCGTAGGGAGGTTTCCTGGTGTGATGTAGCGTCTCTGTCAATGTAGACCTTTGTGTGTGCTTTTGGTTCCCAGGACTGCCAGCCCTCCGATACACACGCACAGTTTATCTGCGAATCCTCAGTCCCCTTCCCACGCTGGGCCTGACCCTGCTCACTGTTGCTTGCATGAGTAACCCTTAGTCGTAAGAGTAAGTTACGTCAGCTAGAGCCTGGAGACCTGGCCGGCATCGCATGTCTCCGCCTGCTAGGGCCAAATTTTAGGAGACCGTGAGGATCCTGCGGGCTCATGAGCCCGGACAGACAGACGGCGGGAGGGGACGGAGACAGACAGGCACCGGGGGGAGCGGCAAGAGCAAAACTCCTCCGAGTCCCCGCCATAACGCCCTCAGCCACGCCGGCA